CGCCCCGGCTTCCGCTCCGCCCCGGCTCGGGGCCCCGCGGGCCCGGCGGGAGCTCCAGGGCGCGCCGGGGCCGGGACGGGAGGCGGGGCTGAGGCATCCTGGATGCGGGACCCGGGGACCGGGTGGAGGTCAAGGCGGGTCGGCGGGGCGCTGCAGACCGAAGGGGAAGGAGGGCGCGCGAGGGAGGTGGGGAGGGTGGGGGGCCCGGGTTCTGCAGGGCACGGCACCTCCCTGAGGCCTCCCCCTGCGCCCAGGATGGCGGCGACCCCCCAGAGCCTCTTCCCCGCGGGGGGCGAGCTGGACTCCAGCCAGTTGCAGATGGAGCCCGACGAGCTGGACACTCTGAGGGAGGGGGAGGACCCAGGTAGGCAGGGGGGACGGCCCTGGGGGAGGACGGGGTGGGGGGCGGCCGGGACCTCCTGGGGTTCACATTCTCGCACCTTCTCTCCTCCCAGCTGACCGGATGCATCCTTTCCTGGCCATCTACGACCTGCAGCCTCTGAAAATGCACCCCTTGGTGTTCGCCCCTGGGGTGCCCGTCACAGCCCGAGTGGTGGGAACCGAAAGATACACCAGCGGATCCAAGGTGGCTGGCCGGGCACTGGGGACGTGGGGAAAGGCAGGGCCGGCCCGGAGGTCGGGGAGGAGGGGGCGCTGCCACCCGGCCAGGGGACAACCGCTGAGTGCCTCCCGCCCCCAGGTGGGAACCTGCACTCTGTATTCCGTCCGCTTGACTCACGGCGCCTTTACCTGGACAACCAAGAAGAAATTCCGTCATTTCCAGGAGCTGCACCGGGACCTCCTGAGGCACAAAGTCTTGATGAGTCTGCTCCCTCTGGCCCGGTAAGGGGACCCGTCTGCTTCCTGTCGGGAAGGCGGTGCCCCATCCTGTCCCTGCCCCAGCCGCCACCACTGCTTTCTGCCTGTCGCACCCTTTCCCTGCCCCAGCTCCTTTCCTGCCCCAGCTCTGGCCCCTGGTGGTGGGGGGGGGGGGGCCCTTCCCTGACCCCGGTTACCAGGAAACCTTCCCAGCTCGGCTCTCCCTGTCCGTGGTCCTGTGCCAGTATCTCAGCTGGGCGGGGCGCCCAAAATGCCCTTGGCAGCTTCCCGCATCTCCGGTCTCAGGATAGGGGGCCTTTGCCAGCCTCCGGGCCTCCCCCAAGCCTCCCGGTCTCGTGCTTCAGGGATCCAGGCACTCAGCTTCCTGGCTCCCACTTGACCCTCTTCCCGCCTCGCCTCCGCAGCTTTGCCACCACCCATCCCCCCGCCGGAGAAGCCGCCAACCGCGAGATGCCCTCTCTGCCTCGCGCAGGACCCGAGGGCTCCTCCAGACACGCGTCCAGCAAACAGGTGCGACCCGACGCCGGACCGCCCGGGAAGGCTTTTCGTGCGCCCATGGCTCCGGTCCCATCTGTGTCTGTCTCTTGTCCCTGCTTCAGAAATACCTGGAGAATTACCTCAACCGCCTCCTGACCATGTCTTTCTACCGCAACTACCACGCCATGGTAAGGCCCAGGGGCTGGCTTTAGGGGGGGCAGTTTCATCAGACCCCCGGGGGGCAGAGGACCCCGGCCCGTGGGGTCTGAGGGGCTGGAAGCCAGAGTCTCTCCCCTGAGCCTTCGTCTTCCTCGGCAGACGGAGTTCCTGGAAGTCAGCCAGCTCTCCTTCATCCCAGACCTTGGCTCCAAAGGACTGTGAGTGTGCGACATCCCGCGCGGGCCACGGGCAAACCCGCGGATCCCTCCCTGCCTGAGGATAGGGAAAGCAGTGCCCGGGCAGGGGCGGGGGCGCGGCGGGCATCCGGATTCCTCTTCGGGCATCTCCCCACCCCACGCCCGCTCCCCGACTCTGCCCACAGGGAAGGAGTGATCCGGAAGCGTTCGGGCGGCCACCGAGTTCCTGGCCTCACCTGCTGTGGCCGGGACCAAGTGTGTTACCGCTGGTCCAAGAGGTGAGCCCCGGAGCGGTCAGCGGGGCAGCGGTGGGGGCGAGGAAGGAGATGCCGTGGGCAGGGAGGAACGGACGGAGCCCTCCCGCTCCAGGTGGCTGGTGGTGAAGGACTCTTTCCTGCTGTACCTGTGCCTCGAGACGGGCGCCATCTCCTTTGTTCAGCTCTTTGACCCTGGCTTCGAGGTGCAGGTGGGGAAACGGAGCACTGAGACGCGGTACGGGGTCAGGATCGACACCTCCCACAGGTAAGGCCTCCAGCCGGTGTAGACGGACACCTGGTGAGCCAAGAGCGTTGGGTGGGGGGGCAGTGAGTGGAAGGAAAGGAAGCGTTTCCACCCCATCCCCCACCCCCATCCAACCCCCCCCCCCCTCGAGCCGGCCTTGGTTTGGAACCAGAGAACTGGTCTGGCCACATGCCTGGGACTGCTCTTAGAACCTAGGCCCAGAGAGAGGGGGTCAAGTACAAGCTTGGGGGAGGGACTCCCGATATAAAAGAAAGGGCGCTCCGTTCATTCATTCGTTCATTCGTTCGTTCCTTCGAGCAAACCCCCCGAGTGCCGGGTGCCAAACTCCGTGCTGTGCCGGTGACCTAACTGTGTGCGAGGCACACGCCTGCCTTGTCCGGGTGGGGTGGTGAATTAGGGACTAAGGGAGGAAGCGGGAGAGAAGGGACAGACAAAGAGGGATGTATCGGGCGAGGCCGGGGCACGAAGGGTGAAGCCTGTGGTCCATCTCGTTGTTCCTGCTCAGGTCCCTGATCCTCAAGTGTGGCAGCTACCGGCAGGCACGGTGGTGGGGCCAGGAGATCACGGAGCTGGCCCAGGGCCCGGGAAGAGACTTCATACAGCTGCACCGTCACGACAGCTATGCCCCGCCCCGGCCCAGGACCTTGGCCCGGTGGTGAGACACTGCCGTCCCTTCGGAGCTTGTCTGTGGGCCTCGTGACCCTCTCCGTGTTTTCTGAGTCCTTTCCTTGGTCCTCTTTGATCTCCTCTGACCCATTCTGGCTTCGACACCCTCCCCCTTTGACTTCTCCAGTCTTCCTGACCATCTGACCTCTAACCGCACTGATTATCTGCCTTCCCTCTGATCTCTCTGACCCCCATACCCAGTCATCTCCAGTCATCTCCTCCGACCCTGGCCTCTCTGACCTCCTGTGACCTTTTTAACTGCCTTTTATCACACTGGCTCTCTGTGTGCCTTATGAGCTCTTAAAATCTCTGTGATTCACTCGTTCGTCCAATACACGTTTTACTAAGCACCTACTACGTGCCAGGCCCAGCGGCAGGAATAAGACAACCCAGTAGGTGATTCAGTCACAAAACAATGGTAACTTCCAGCCGTTCCGGTGGTAGATACAGGGTACCGGGCACAGCGGGGGAACATCCCCCCCCCCCCCCGCCCCCCGTGGGGATGTCAGGACTGCCTTGCAGAAGGCAGTGACCCTGAGGTTGGCCTTAGGAAGAAAGCAGAGACTAGCCTGTGCACCGAGGCTAGAAGAAGCAGGCTGGCATGTTTGGTGACCCTGGCGGGGGGGTGGGGGGGGGAGGAGTGGCCAGAGAACAGTCTGGGGGTTGACAGTGCCTGGGTGTGCCCCGAGTGCTAAGCTGAAGCGGTTGGACTTCATCATAGGCAGGAGGGAGTGGTGGAAGGATTTTTTTTCTTGGAGGCGGTGTTGACATTCATTTGTTTCATAAGAACTAATAGCTGATACTTACGTAGTTCTCACTTCGTGCTGGGAGCTACGCTAAGTATGATTAAACCCTCTCGCGAACCCGACGAGGCAGGCACAGGTGCTGTGTCCACTTTACAGATGAGAATGTTGAGGCAAGGAGAAGCTGAGGAACTTGCCCAAGGTCCGACACCTTGTAGACAGTGGAAGCAGGATTCAAACCCAGGCAGCCTGGGTCAAGACCCCACTCTTCACCATCATACTATTTGTTATTCAAAAGCCAAAACGATACGACGCAGAAGCACAATAAGTGAAAAACTTAAGTTCCCCTTTGTTGCCCAGCCCTTTACTCCCTGGCCTCACGTCTGCCCAAGACCCAACAGCCCAGCTCTCTCCCCAGAAATAACCCTCACAACAGAGTCCTGTGTATCTTCTCCTTTCTCGGCCTGTACACTTTCATAGGCTTATGCGCATACATTACTGTTTGGTTTAATGTAAATGAGATCATGAACTTACTTTTGTGGCTTATTTTTTTTTCCCCACTTAATGTGTGTGTTAGAGATTAGGCATTCAGATTCTTTCTTATTTTATTTTATTTTATTTTATTTTATTTTATTTTATTTTATTTT